CTCCTCACTGTGCGAAGCCAAGACGTGACAACCTGACTCCAGGTGACAAAGTGACTCCAGGTGTTCTTCCTGGCCGCTTGTTTGGGCCTCCTCATGCCTTTAACCATGAATACATGTGGAGGAGTGCTCACCTGCACGGGCTTGTCTGGTGCCATAGGGCCCCGGGGAGGTGACACCTCTGTTAGCCTGGTCCCTTACCTGACGAATATCATTCTGCAGGGGTGCTGGTTGCCCCCTCTATCTCCTACGTCTGTGTTGTTGGTATCAGTGGAACTGGAACACGAACAAGCGATATGCTGTGTCCCTTGGGTGTGTTTCTGCAAAGCCATCGTTTACATATCCATACCTAGAGCGCCTTTCAGGTTCTCTTCAAGTGGAAGTCACGTTTGATTATTTCTTTCTATTTATGCTCTTGCTCTTCTGAAAGACACCATCCAGAGCTGAGCGTGCCTTCCTGGGGAAGGCAGGGCTTAAAGGGGGTTGGCTGATGTACTGTGGTGGTGCTTGCTGTGAAGGGATGCTGAGACTTTATACCATTGGAGCCCAGGTGCATCCCTGGATGAGGCATATTCAGTTATTACAAATGAGATCGCTGTTTCATTTCACGAGATGTAGCCTTTGGCAGACTGAATTATATCATGGCAGACTTAGATCTTGTTTGCGTGTGCAACAGCTTGCAAATAGTAAAAACGTGAGGGGCTGCCTCTCTAATTGCATCTTCACTGTGAGTCTCAGTGTAGGGTGCAAAAAATCATTTGACTCTTCCTTTACACAACGCAGCTGGCAACTTCAACAGTAGATAATGAAAACTAATTACTGCTGGGCTTTAAGATGTTCAGTGTAGGGTGCAAAAAATCATTTGACTCTTCCTTTACACAACGCAGCTGGCAACTTCAACAGTAGATGAAGCCCAGCAGTAATTAGTTTTCATTAAGATGTATGCACAGGATAACTTGATTATGATCTACTAGAAAACATTTTTACCAAAGGAAAAGTGAAGGAAGATCTAACTTCTACGTTGATCATATAGAAACAAGCACTGGGGAACTAGTATTTCAGTGGGTCTGCTCTATGTTACTGTAATACTTTCAATATAAGCATAATCATAAGCAAATACAATTGTTGAAGTTTAGCTCTGAGGACAATGAACTGCATGTGCCAGCGAGTAATACTGTGAAGCTCCAATTACTGTTGCACACTCTATTGCATTAAATCGCCTAATGCAGTAATGGACGCATCTGTCAGCCTCTGCTGTTGCGTTTCTGCCTCCCTACTTCAACTTTGATATCTCTTGGAGGTTAGTTCCTTGGTGTTAGCTACTTGTATTTTAAAACTGGATGTTAAGGCTGATTAATTACCGATTCAGACATGGTTGCTGTGATGTCTATGCAGAGAATCTGTTCTTTACTTGGTGTTGAGCTGCTCACAGCTACAGAGCACAGCCAGGCTTTGCATCCTACGATGTTATCATAGAGCTGGCTGTCAAAGGAAGGTCTGGTTTCCAGACAGGAGGTGGTGCCTTGGTGGGGAGGACAGTCATGTGGAAATCAGTATTTGATATCAGTGATGGACACAACATGAGTAGACGTGTGAGAAGTCTCAGCATGAGGGAGCTGTGCAAGCAGCCGTTCGTGGGGAGGCCTTTGGACATTCCTAAGTGAACGTACACTGGGAATCTATCCAGATTTTTCAGGTTTTTGGAATTGAGTGCTAGGCTGTGAAGCAAGGGTTAATTTTTCGTATGCTTGTAGACAGCTCTTCACCAGTGAGCTTTGAAGACTGCTTCCAGGAGTTGTTTTAGCTACAGTGGGTTGGAAAGAGATTGGAAGGAAGGAGGTGGCGCAGCTTTGTACTGCGTTGTCATTCCCTAAGTCCTAAAAAATGTAAGCAAATTTATCCTGAAGCCCTTTTATGGATTCAGCAGAAGACAAACTGAAGGTGCTTAGATTCTTTTTAGTGGAGAAAGAGTTATGAGGATGCAGCAAGCTTCAGTGTGGTTACTTCAAAGGAAAATGTATTTGTAGCACTTAGTACAGGCTTGTTGCAAGCTATGTGAATTGTGTTGCTGCGTAAGACCCAAGAAAAAGGAGAGATCTATAGTGGAGAAGAAAGAATAAAGTCGGATATGTGAACTTGTGTCAAATACTCCAGATTCTCTTAATGACAGGGAGAGGTGTTGGATAACTGATGTGAACTGACTTACTGACCGTTTGGTATGGGGCTGGTGGTGTAACTACACAACCAACTCTAAACTCCAGAAGCTGGAGGGTAACTAATGATTATTTTTGTCTTCCTGGTTCATTAGTCATTGTGGGCATCCGGTTAAACTGTTCTGGTGAAAGCATCTAATTTTACAAAGAGAATCTTGTAAAGCAAAATAAAAAAAAGTCCAACTAGAGAAGAATCAAGATCCTATAACCTAGGCTGTGCTGCCAAAGGGCTCTGTGTGCAAAGTCCAAAGTTCATGTTTGGTTCTGTGAACCTGCCCCCTCATCTCAGGAATGTTACATCAGTTCACATTTCTCACAACCCCACCTCTACAGTTGAGCTGCTTGTGCTAAATGTGCTGCATGCTGTGTTGCTCCACTACGTGGAATTTTGTTTGAACATCTAAAACCCAGGCTTCTTTTTTGCTCAGAACTTAAACTAAACTTCTGGAGTAGTGTTACAAATGTACTAGTCTGGAAACCTCTCTCAGTGAATATTTTTATTATTAGACTTGAATTTCCTGCATACCAAAAATCAGGATCTTGAAGGAAAAAAAAAAAAAAGATGCTGCAATCTGTTAGAACTGAATTTGCTCATTTTAGGTTCTGTCACTGGTTTGCTTGATCAAATTCCTGGGAAGAGTAGCGTGTGATCACAGATCACCGTCAGGGTACGCTTAGGTGCAATATGACATGCCAGATCATTTTCCACAGTGGATGCAAATGTTGGTGCTGGATGGCTCTCGGGGCTCTCCCACTCACAAACCTCTTCCCAGCGCTAGAGGAGGAGTGAGGCGACAGAATTCAGTGTGAGTTAGGGGGTGACAGTGCCTCAGGAATGCTGAGAAGAAAGGAGAGGGAGTTCTTTTCCCCAGTTCTTTCCTCCTCTGATGATGGGTTGAGTAACTTCTTGGCAAGCTAGCTCTTGGGTAGTCAGCCCTTGAAACGTCACCACACTGGGAAGATTTTGCACAGCCTGAGCTGTCATTCTTCATCCCAGCACAAGCTTCTGAGCAGGAGCTGTGGATACTCTTGTTTTTTGGGTGAGGACTGCATTGCTCAGTTTATGGTCTTTAGAGGATTCTTGGGAAACATCTGACGAGACTTGACAAGACCTCTGGGGCCTCTGTTATCCTAGAAAGAGCCCACTAAAGCTGAGGGAAAATATGTTCTGTTTCTCTGGAAGCTGTCCTGTTGAAATAGTTAAAATGCTATTCTGTCACTTTTCCTTTACTTCTGAAGCTTGAGGCTTTTGCCCAACCTAAAAAATACTGCACGTGCCTGTTAACAAATGAAACCCCAGGTGTAGTTAATATGCAAACAAGCACAGGCTTGTCCACCAAAGAGCACTTCACAGTTTGATGATCTTCAGATTATTCACTGATCATCAGGCCTTCCTAGGCATAGGTGAAATGCCAAAATTCTTCATCTGAAAATGAGTAGAAAGGACTTTGGATTGTTTCTTGGCTTTTAGGTTCAGCAGGGGAACGAGTCTCTCCTCGTTAGAGCACAAGCGTTACCCTCAGTGACAGTTCTGAATTACCCAAATTTCATATAGAAGGAGCTGCAAAGTGAGGTTTTGTTCTCGGTTTAGGTTCTGCTTGCTATTTCTACCAAACAAGTGGCGATCAAGATGCCACCGTTACTGTTTTGTTGTGCTGATTTCATCAGCGAAGGGCAACTCAAAGCACAAGCACTTCCAAAGGCAAGTTGGAAGAGCGAGACCAATAAGAGACTTTCCAGCCTTTCATTTTCATAACCTTTTGGGTGGTGTCTTCCCTGCAGATGGTCGCAATTCCAGGCGGAGTGTTCACGATGGGCACCGATGAGCCTGAAATACAGCAGGATGGAGAGTGGCCTGCGAGAAGAGTCCGCATTAACAGTTTCTACATGGATCAGTATGAGGTCAGCAATGAGGAGTTTGAGAGATTCGTGAATTCTACGGGGTATGTGACTGAGGTAAGGCGGAAGGGTACACGGTCTCCCGGCATCTTTCTTTGTGTTGGAGAAATCCCTGTAAAAAGCACTTTTCTTATTTAAAGGATGTCACAATACTTGCTTGGAATTTCTGTGCTAGCATGTTTCTGATGGAAATAGTGTAGAGAGAAAGCTGCCTTGCCTTGCTGCCCCAAGAGCATCTAGGTGTATACCAACATGCTTATTAAGCACCTTGATATCTGAACTAATATCCCCCTCATCAGTATGACTGAGGCAACCTGGATGAAAATGTCTATGCAGAGGGTTTTTGGCTATTTTTCTGTTGTTTGGCTTTTTTTTTTACCTTTGTCTCCTAAGACATCTTTGTACCAGTATAACTATGTTGTCAGATTTTCCATATTTCAGATTAACAGAGGAGATTAAAAAACTTGTGGTAGCTAAGGACTCTGCAGGCTAGTTTAGTGCAGCTACTTGCTGATGAGCTGAGCGCTAGAAAGCCCTGCTGTCTAAAGAAGATATAATAGCAAGAATAATAATAGTTTTATGCATGTTACTGGGAACAATGGACTAAGAATACATTCAGGTTCTTCCAAGAAAGAAGGTACCTGTGCCTGAGGCTCTGATCTTTCCTGACAGTTGACTGTTCCTACGCAACTTTTATAAAACCCTGACAGGCCTTTCAGGCAAATAAAAGCTTTGGTGTAATGATCAGGTCTCAAAGGAGGCACTTTGCTGAAATCACTCGATAAACTCGTTCTCGTTTGGGAGGCAGGATCCTTCTGGTTGGATGAAGGGCTTCTTTTATCTGTGGCACTATTTCAGTTTTTAAGCTCTTAGCTCAATAATTACGGGGAGAAAAAAAAAAGTTGCTTAACGATTCTGGCTTTGAGCAGAGCCTGCTTGTTGCATCAGCTCCAGGAACGAGCACGAGTGTGATGGTGTTTAAATGAAGAACCGCATCGATGGAGTCTTCGTGGCTCAGCTGGTGTGGATGGGTGCTCCACTTACATTTTCTCCTGTTCTCCCTCACATGGAGCCCTTTTTTTGCACTTGGTTTGGAAAAATAAACTCAGAGTTAGAGTGAACGGCACTGATTCTGCACATTTTTTTTGGGGGGGGGCTTATTCAATCAAGCTATTTTTTTGTGTATTTAAATAATGTTCACATAACTAACTGTGGGTAGACAGAGCCAACCTACTTCTTGGCTTTCTTTTATTAAGGACCAGACTGAACTCCAGTAGCAAATGAAACCTGGAGGGAAATAGCTGAAGAAAAATCTCCAGATGTACAGCTTGGTTCTTGAACCAAGTTTTCTTCAACAAACTTTTTTTTTTTTTTTTTTTTAAAAGCCCTTGGTGGATTCTGTCAGATGGAAATCTGGGGTCCTTTGGGTGATAAACCTGTTCACCTCCGGGTCTTTCAGATTAGGCAGGAGAGAAAAAACAGAAACGACCCACAAGAATTTTTTTCTATTTGATAAACCTGTTTCTGCGTTTTGGGGTCTTTCAGATTGGGCAAGTGAGAAAAATTAGAGTTGCTTTGCTTTTTTTTTTTCTTCTCCCTTTCTTTCCTCTCTGAAACTGAATATATAAAGGCTATGGTCATATGCTAAAATTTCTTCCAATCTGGATGGCAAATGGGATCCTTCTTTCAAACTGTGCTTCTTGAGGAGTTCAGAGCATGCAGAACCATCCAGAGATGAAATGCCATCGCTTCTAAAATAGCTTCCTTGAAAGAGAACTCAAGCATTACTGTTTGAATTCCCTCATCCTTGATAAAATAAAGCTGTAGATGTATCATTTTAAGAATAACTTTCCTCTGCTAACATGGTTGAATCTTTTGTTCTTTCTCTAGGCAGAGAAGTTTGGCGATTCCTTTGTGTTTGAGGGAATGCTGAGTGAAGAAGTGAAGGCCGACATCCGTCAGGCAGTGAGTAATGCAGGGGAACGCTTGCTTCGCAGTCCCTGGGTTAGATGTGCTGGGATCAAGGCAGTAATTTCTAAATTGTGTGATGTTCCCAAAGCTGTGTATGAAAGTGATTAGCAGTAGTTAGTATCAGCCTGTTCTTGTCCTTTTTTTCTTTCCTAAATGAGAAGTATTTAGGAGTGTAGTAAGTGGTGCAGATATAAGGGTGTTTGTTGTACGTGTAACACAGTGATGCCTCAGAAATTCAGGTGCTCGTAGTGGCTCTACCAGTGATGTGCTGTGTGGGCAAAGCACAGGAGTGCTGCTGGCTCCAAGAGCGCAGGGTCACGCGAGTGGCACGCTCTGCCAGTACCCAAACCGAGCGGGTAAATCCTGAATTAAGAAAATGAGCATAATCTGTGTACCTGATGCGGATGCTTGCATGACTGCTTTCTCTAGGTTAACTAGAGGTGAAGTTTTCCAAACAAGTGTCCTTTTGATGGCACACCTGAGTCCGGAAGAGCCCTTACTCTGTTGTGAGCTGCTGAAGTTTTACTGTGCTTCCTCCATCTCTGTGGAAGATCCTGCATGCTTTGCTGCTTTTTCAGTTCCCTTCATCTTACTAGGGCAGCTTACAGCTCGTGCTGGGTGCAGTGCTGATTGAACTGGGGCTGATCCAGTTTTGCTGTTGAGTTGAAGTCACCGTTGGTTTAAAAAAAACCCTCAAAAGTCCAGTAGCGAAGCTTCCCTGCGCCCTCCTTTCCCTCTTTCTGTTGTGGATGTGCTGCTGAGCCTTTCTTAGGCTTCATTTACCTTCTCCTTAACCTTACCAGGTCACTTAACTTTTGTGGATCCTAATAGCAAGCAAACTGTGGCACACAATCTCCTGGGTGAATTTATCTGTTTTGAGCAGGAGTTTGGACACAATAACCTCCCGAGGTCTCTTCCCGTCAGGATTATCCTCAGCTCTGATGAACACACTGGGCTCTCTTGTCCCATGCCTTAAAAAAAGAAGCCTTGGAAATGAAGCGTTCTGATGCGGTGTGGCAATTCCTGTGTGTGTGTCTGTGTGGCTTCAAGTTGCATTTACTCTGGAGGGGAATTTCTTTGGGTTTTTTGGTCAATTTTCTTTTGGATCAGCAAAGCTGACTTGGCCTGTTCTGCAAGTGCTTGAATCAACCCAGGGAACAAACCCAGGGAACAAAACCACATCTTTTGGCAATAATTCTATTAAATGTAAGTGTTAAGTGAAGCTGCACTTATAGAGGAGCACAGCTTTTTCTTGCCACCTTTTGCACCTTTCAGTGCTAGATAAGCAGAGAGAGAGAGAGAGAGAAGTGAGAAAGTCTGAGCTGAAATTATTTCTTTTAGTTAGTAGCAAGTTTTTACTTATGCACGCCATTTGATCCAAAGTACAACTTCAGGAGTTTAGAGGATTATCACTGAGTATGACAAACAACTGAGAATATCTGGGGCGTTAGTATTTAGTAATTTAATTTTCCCCAAAATAGTTTCTCACACAGAGTTTTTCTTACATATGTGTGGTGCAACAGAGTAGTGAATATTCATTGCTCTCTATAAATTACACTCTTGGTTGAGGGAGGGATCATGGAATCGTAGAGCTTGATTTTTATCTCCAAGGAGCAATCTAGATCGGAGGCTGCAAGAAGCCCGATGAGAATGTGTTCTGGGGATGACTGGCAAAAAACGTGGAGTTTGGTTTCCTACTGCAAGGAAAGGAAGATCACAAGAACAGTTCGTTATGTTGTAATTCAGGGGTATCAACTGTCTACTGTGAGGCTTAAGAGGAGTAAATTGGCCTTCCCAAACATGAGCATAACTGATGTTGAAGGTAGAATTAATGCAGGTGGGCTCATCCCATCTTCACAACAGTTGGTATTAGAGAAAGATTTTCTTTTTTTCCTGCCCTAGTTCCGTGATGCAGAAATCCCTAAATCTTGCTTTCCATTTTAAAACAAACAAACCCTAAGAATGCTGGAGTAAGCTCAGTCCTGGCTATTTGTATAAACACACACAGAGTGTTGGGAGCCACTTCCCTGGGTGTGCCAGCCAAATTTTCAAGCGTTGGCTGTAATGGGAACAGAACAAGTATTATGCCAGGTGCTGGAACAGAGCCCAAACCCGTCTTTTTGGCTGCTGCTTGATGGAGGTTTTCTCTATTTGGGAAAAGTAAACTTTAGGGGGCTGTCCCTTTGCCATGTTTTCAGTATTTGTCATTAGGTCAGGTTGCGAGCTGCTGGCACGCAGAGCATTGTCACAATAGACCCGGAGAAAGATTGTACTAATTGTTTTGGTGAAGCGCTCTGGAGAGCAGCGGCTGCGTGCCTTGTGGTTTGGCGCTTCTTAACTTCGCGCTGATGCTGTGGACAAACTTAACATGCTGAAACATGGTAATATTGGTGGTGGGGGGAAGAAACCAGAAGCTGCTTTTCTTCCTCCTGCCTGCCTGCCCCCTCACCAGCTACATACTGTGAAATCCAGCTTTTAGCAAGGAGCTGCTGTTTGCAGGGAGAAGGTGTCGGGAGGCAGCGCAGCAGTGGAGCTGGGAAGAGAGCTCTGATGTCTGAAGATACAGCTTAGAATTTTATCTATGGGTGCTTCTGCCTCTCAAAACTGTGCCTCTCTGTTGTTCTACCTTGCATTTTCTGCGAGGGATTGTAAATGTCGAGAGGACTGTGCAGACCTTTGTGGTTGTGAGGGCCTTTGGGTTTTGTGACGTTGCAATTTGTGGACTAGAAAAAAGAAGCGTCTTTCAGCTGCAGGGAAGGGAAGCATCAGCTGTGGGGATGTGATGTTAGAATATAATGTACTCAGGCTACTTCTTGCACAACTCAATTCTGGGTAGGCCATGCTCGTCCTGCCTAATTGAAACTAATAAAATGCATTACCAGTTTTCTGTAGATCATACTTTCAAGAAACAATTTTCTATAGGCAACTTGCAAGAAACTTCATAATGCAGAAGCATCCCTGCTACGGGGCAGGGACTTCAAGGGTTCCGCAAAAGCGAATTCTTCCTGGGGATCTGCAAGCTTAAATAAACCAACAGAAAATAAAAACCAGCTTCCTGTTACCTTGCCCAAAATGTTGAATTTCTGTTAGTGCCTGCTGGTGGAAAAATGGTGAAAGGAACTTGATACTATTTGATTAGTTAAAAAAAAAAAAAAAGTGAGCACATTTTTAAAACTTGGCTGCTGCATTGTAGCCGTTCAAATGGAATCAGAAAAAGTGTAAATTGCAAGATGTTGGCGTCAATCAGCAGATTGTAATGATCAGCAATGGAGAAAATGAAGGCTTTTTTCCTTGATGTATACCTCAGCCAAGTAATATTGTAGCTGGTGGCAGGTACCTTTCCGAGTCATAACTATCACCGTGAAAAGCAGAAATAAGATGGAAACATTGGTGCACTGCTGAAACTGAAAATCCCTCCACCAAATGGGAGAGAGGACTGTGCTTTCACTGTGCCTCAGTGGCTCCGATATGCTTCGATCTGGCTCTCCTCCAGCGGAAGCACAGGAGTGCTAAATGCAGATGCTCTTTAGGGGAAGAGCAACAGGAACATGTGTTTTGGCAGAGCCTTTCATAGGCAGTGACAGAACTGGGGAGAGGTGGAAGGGAAGATGTTGGGCTAAACCGTCCATAACAGCTTCTATAAATAACAAGGCGCACGTGTCTCTTGGGGAGGACCTGGGGGTTTTGATCCTTTTGACCGCTTTGGCTTGTCCGTTTCTGAAACCAGCCGAATCTGTCGTGGGCCTTCCACGGCAGCAGACAGCTCGGTGAGATCAGAGGTGGGGCTGGGGAAAGCTAACGCTGGAGCAAACCAGCTCAGCACGTAGAATAATTGTTGGAGCGTTGGGCGTGTGTTTCCTGGCGGTGAGTGCTCCCCTAGATAGCCGCCCTCCTCTGGCAGGGAAGCAGTAAAAAGGGGTGTAGCAGCCAGTAACCGAATTGTTCTAGAATTCTGGGAGCTCGAGTTTTAGTTTTTGGCCTCTACGTTCAGCACTAATGTGGCAGAGAGCGAAAATGTTGCACCGGAGCAGCAGAGGCTGTTAGTGATGGAACTGGCAAGGAGTTTTTCAAATGAAAAAGGGTGTTTTCTAGGGTGAGGGTGGAAGGTCCTTTGAAAACAAAACATTTTGTGTGGCTTGAACAAGTCTTGATAGGTTCACATATTAAAATCAGTTCTTCCACTTGCAGATTAAGACCATCTATTACAGTTATTAAGTTACGGGCTTTCTTGGGTGCTTGGCCTTTGGTTTAGGTGATAGCTTGGCATTTGGGGTTTTTATTTTTTTTTTCTCTTTCTTTTTTGAGAGAATTTAATGAAATGGAAAAAGCTCAAAATGTAGACATTTTTGCTATTCTTATTTTATGATGAAACTGTTTTCCTACTGTTTTATCTCCCTGAGTTAAGGAGAAAGCAGAGAGGGGGAAATGCATCCCCAGTGCTATTATTCCATGGCATTGTAAAATGCCATTTATATGGCATTTTAATGTATCCTAGAGCAAAAAGCATGAAGACTGTGTCTGCAAAATGAGAAGGTACTGAGGCGTGTTTGCCAGCGAGGGGATTTGAGAGCTCTTGCGAATAATTGCAAGAGTTTCATTTGCTGTGCAGCTACTGTGAAAAAGGTAAACAGCATAGCGCTTACCCACACTGGAGTATGGCGAAGCTCAGGTTTGCTCACTGGAGAGTAGCAGGAACGTTTTTTTAAGTTGTTTTTTTTTTTTTTTCTTGGCTTGTGGAAGATAACAAAATTAATTTTGGCTTCCAGGCTATGTAAAGGTTGCAATGAAGAGACCGCTGGCATACGAATGTGTGTACTTGACTTGTCTTTCGGAGGTATTGGATTTTTAATCCGGGAGTGCAGTGAAATCAGTTCACTGGCAAGCTTGAGCAAATGGCATAAAGTTGTTCTGCTCAGTCTAGAACCACTGGATGCTGCTTTCCCCTCATACGAGGGGAAATGGCCTTAAGATCCATCAGGGGAGGTTCAGGTTGG